CATTCTGGCCTTTCCACTCTCATTCATCTCCACCTACTCATGCCTTTGACTGACATGAATGAATGTCCATATGAGCTATGTTTAGGCAGGTGTACGCACATCTTTTCTACTGAGTCATGTTTACACTGGATGAACTATAGTGGAGATCTGGGATATCGAAGATAAAGGTCACGTTCAGGTCACTATGTCACTGATATAAGACATGTGACATGATGTGATGTTTGTTTGTGTACACTTCTGCGCTGCCTTTGTCCTGTGTGCATGTTAGTGTACTGTGTGCATACTATATGTATGTGAAAGTGCTGATGGGACTCCCCGAAATCCCCTTTTTTTCTCAGCCGCAGTGGAAACTCATCGCTGCAGGAGAACAATCCAGCGCTCGGCCTTTGTTGTGACACTGCCCATTGTCCCTGGAAGTGTGCTGTTGTTGTGTGTGTGTGTGTGAATGTGTGCGTACTGTATGTGTACCTGTGTATGGACATCTGCGTGTGCTTGCTGCCTGGTATAAATAGCGTGGGATGTGTGCCGGCCGGTGATTCTGTGGAAAACGATGGCTGTACCAGGACCTCCTCTGCTCCTCCTTCTATCTCTGCTGCTGCCGCTGCTGTTGAGCAAGGCGTCCCTGCCTGCAGCTGCATACACACTCACCCCCGGGCGACAGCCACAGCACAAAGTCCTCCACCTGGGTGAGGGCAAAAACACGCACAGACGCTCCGGCAATGAATATGGAGGCTCCTTTTTCATTTTCTTGGCTTCTCTCTATATTTATGTGTGGTGCTTCTCTCCTCCTAGACTGGCCTAAGGATTGTGGAATGGCTCACTTCAAGCCCAACATGGCTGAAAGGATTGTGTCTGGGAACGAGGCCAGACCTCACTCCTGGCCCTGGCAGGTCTCTCTGCAGGTAAATTGTCATTGTGCATTGATGTGGTTCAGTTTTTAAAGGATCTGGAGGCCTTGAATCAAGCACACGAGTTATTGACTTAGAATGAAAATGCCAGACACATATATGACCTGGACAAGAGGCGGATTTGTAAATTTGCTCAACCAAATTCTTTCTGGGGCTTCATCAGTTCATCTGTTGAGTATAGAAGTATTAGACTATAGCAAAAAAAAGGCTGATTACAAGAGCCCACAGTGACGTCTTCAGATTGTTTGTTTTGTCTCAAGCTACCAAAGATAATTTAATCTGATATAAAGGAAAGAAAATCAGCAATTTCTCACGTTTTAAACCAGCGTATAACTGACTGACACCTGTCTGAATAACGCTACACTTTATACTTACAACCATTAACAGCTGTATGTCTATAAATGATCAAAACACTGATATTCTGAAAAATTACATTCAGGTTTTGCACCACTACACAGGATGGAGACACTTCTCACAGGGATGGAATTAATCGATAAGTAATGAATAATTTTGAGTGTAGTCTGACTAATATCAGAATTTCTGAGACTGATACCAAAATCTACAAACTAATGGACATAAGAAAGAACATTTGATTAAATCGACTCTATAGTTTAAACTCAGTGGACTCATAAATCTGTCCGAGAGGTGAAGAATGAAATGCTGGTTAAATGCTGAAGGTGTTTTGCGGTGGAGTAAATGCAATGTATGTATGCGATATTTAAGGGGTAATGAAAATGAAAATGACCATCTGTGATCACTGAGGAGGCTGTGTGGTTGTCTCTCATAGGTTCGCCCCAGGGGAAGTAAACACTACATTCATGTCTGTGGAGGAACTCTCATCCACAAAAACTGGGTCCTTACTGCTGCTCACTGCTTCCAGAAGTAAGAAACATATTCCATTAAAAGAGATTAAAAAAAACATTAAGGATTGCATTCAAGTCGTGGTTTGATGGCACAATACAAGCCATGACTGTAATTCAACAACTCTTTGGGCCTCTCAGGGGTAAAGCAGAGGATGCTGGGAGCTGGAGAATCGTTCTGGGGAAGCACCAGCTGAAGCGTTCAGAGACAGTAGAGAGGATTTTCCCAGTGAAGAGAATCTACCGACATGAGAACTTCCGTTATCCCGCTCACAGCGAGCTGGACTATGACATTGCCTTGGTGAAAGCTGCCACAGATATCCTCCCTTCAAACTTCATCCGCTACGCCTGCCTGCCGCGCAAGCAGACCAGCCTCAAACCGGGACACTACTGCTGGGTCACGGGCTGGGGAGACACTCGGGGTGAGTAGAGGGGGATATAGAAGAAGAGGAAACAGTCCTGGAGGAAGTCGTTAGGGCAACTGATCAAACACTGCCTCACAGCAATACTAAATACTACATGGATAATAATATGGAATCAAGGACAGGCTGTAATAGTTGTGAGCAACTTGAATTTAACTATGACTAAATATCTTATTATGAAACTTAAAACTTTATTTTGAAATGTAAAGATTACTGAATATAGTTTTTTACTCTGAAAACCACCAGTATGAATTAGGGACGGCCTTTTTAACTGTGCAACTTAATGAATTTGATTTTAAGTGTCTTTCCAGGGCTCGAAATTTAGAGAATATAAGACTTAAATATTGAAAAAAAACTTTATTCAAACATTCAAATTCAGTTGGTCTGTTTTGAATCAAAGGAATCAAATCAGGTCGAAAAAATAAGATGGTTAGAATTAGATTGGTGAAATTCAGACAGTAAAATTCAAGATGAAAACTCAAACTTGTGGTTAAATTTTCAGTTTCTATTAAGATTCAAACTGTTTTGGCCTTTCTTTGCTTCCATATAACATCAGCTAACGCTCAGAATGACAATTCTGATATAATGATGTTGTGTATAGTATAATACAGCGTGTTAACATGCTAACATTTGATAATTACTAACCACAAAGTGCAGCTGAGGGTGATGGGAGTGACATTAGTTCACACATGTACTGAGTAATTAACTAAAGCATTGGACAAGTACAAATTTTGACCTGATGATGGCGCTAGATGAAAAGTAAGGGGAGACAAGAGTCACAAAGATTAATTTTTGGAGGAATTGTGAAAGTTTGACTAGAATTTCATGGTAATTTGTCCAATATTTGTTGAGACATTTCAGTCTGGACCAAAGTGATGGAAAGTAGAAATCAAAGTGGGTAAATATGCTCCTTTAAAAACACTTTTCAGGTGGGAAGGAGAATGTGTCTCTGGCAGAAGCCTTAAATCAAGCTCGCCTCCCCATCATTGACTTTAAGACCTGCCGACAGAAGAAATTTTGGGGCGACCGTGTCCGAGACTCCATGATCTGTGCAGGATTCAGAGACACAGAGGATCCACCTGCTGCATGCCAGGTAGGGCCGTCATTTACATGAGTCAGCCAATAGCGTGACAACTGGTCCCCTCAATGAATGGATCAGTTGCTACAGGCACAAATGTTGAAGGTGGTCGTGAAGGTTGATAAAAAGAGGTGTCATGTCCTCCCTCCTCTTCCAGGGTGACTCTGGTGGTCCTCTGCTGTGCCAGTTGGGGAGGGACCGCTGGGAGGTGCACGGCGTGGTGAGCTTCGGCCCCATCGGCTGCACCGTGGAGAACAAACCCAGCGTGTTCACCCGCACCGCCGCCTACATCCCCTGGATCGAAGCAACACGCATCAGGGACTTCTTCCTGCACTAAGCGGTCCACCTGACTCAGCGCTGACAGCAAACATAAGCTCTGCTCTGTTTTATGTCCCACGTCTACAGACGACTCCAAACTGTTTTTTTTTCTACAAGTCTCACAGCCGGAGTTCAGTTTTGTTTCGCCATTTCTGGAACTTACGCAACAACCACTTCCAAGTTGTAAATACATGTTCTGAATGTGCAATAATTATTTTATAACACACCATAATTTACAGTATACACTATGCACTGCTGTGGTTCTCAACAGCGGAGAGTTGTGACACAGCACTGCATCGTTTATACTACTCATGACCTTTTACATCCAATCTACTTTGCGCAATAAAACTGGTGAAAACCAAAAAAATCTATGTGAACTTTTTCAATTTTTTGTTAGTTTTTAATACAGTGGGTTTTTTATGGATACATCAACAGTACGCACTTCAAGTACAGCTTTACAGTGACTTCTTCTTGCAGTCAAACAAAACCTGCCGCAGATACGCTTCAATAAATACAACATTAGAACCGACCGTAAGGCTTTGTTCTGTGTTTGCACGACTTGGTTGAAAATCTCTTTGCTCTTCTGCAACAGAAGAGTCTTTCAGTCCAAAATCAGAACCCGACTCCACAGCCATTCACCTGGTGCACCTCACACCAGATGTCACGAGTCATCTTACAAATCAATATTGGCTCATTCAACCCAAATGTCATGGGTTCGCTGATTTCAAAACTAAGCATCAAAGAAGACTAATAAGCCTCCCATAAACAATGATATAACAAATGACACACCTCTACGTAACATCCTGACAGGGTGTTCTCATTACTGATCAGATCAGTGACAGGAATACCTCAGAGGATAAAGACAAATGAAGGGAGAGATGTTATAGGATGGTCTCCGGTGGAATTTAGTCTGCATTTTCACAACTTTTCGAAAGACGCATCTTTTGATTCCCAGAATGCTCCAGGAAAGGAAAGTGGGCGAGGGGGAACCAGCGAACTGGGGCCGCCTCACACTTCCCTGGAAAGCACACTGCTTTTGACCAGAGTGTTCCTCTTAGCGCTGTGGTTAAAGGCTGTGTCCTGGAGGGAGATATTTGGCCCTAGCGTTGAAGCAGAATGTGTGTGGGGAAAGGTTAGTAGAGCCTGGAGGATGAGGAGGAGGAGCCGGTGAGGTGGTCCCAGTTGTTGTAGAGAGCGTAGGCACCAGACAAGGCTAAACCAGCCAGACCTCCGCGGGCTACACCCTTTAATCCACCTGTGAACACACAACAGTATCAGAATGAGTGATGAAGCTGCGGATGAACATGCAATAAACAGAAACATACACCAGTGGTTGACACTGGCAGCATAAACGCATCCAACAAACTATAACCTAAGCAAATCACCTTTAGTTTTTAATCCAACCTACAGTAAGAACCAGCTGGGTGGGGCTCAACACAGTAGCTTTACCTGACTTTTAGGTGCTTTACAATGTTTATCTCACAACAGTTTCCCTTATTGTTTTTCCTTTCATGTCAAAACATGTCTGGAAAACATTTAAGTACAAGTGAGAATTTGCTGCTTTTCTTTTTATATCATTGTTAGGTTACTGTGCTTGGGGTTTTAGACTGTTGATTAGACAAAACTTAAAAGACAACCTCCAGAAAGTTGCAATGAACATTTTTCAATATTCTTCTAAACTAGACAAAAAAATCAAAGAATATTAAATATACAGATGAATCAATAATGAAAATAATCGTTAGCTGCAGCCCATAACGCTTAAATTTGATGATTTCACGAGTCGTGAACCATAATAGAGAGATGATGAATACTGAAATCCAGATGTCTGCTTGTTCGATTAAAACACGTGCGAATAGTTAAAAGCTGAAGTCAAAAACAGGCACAGCATACATTAATGGCAGATATATAAGCAGAAAGTAAAAAACCTACTTCCTGATTTAAAGAGCATCCCAGTTAACGTCCCAGCAGCCACTGTGTTGACGTCATCTTCTGCTCCTCTGGCCTTCTCTATCGCCACGCCAAAAGCACTATACAACAACGCTGCAATGGCAAGGAAAAATTCACAAAGTTTAATTAAGGGCAGAAAAAACAGCTCTTTCACAAGCCAAGTCAGTGATTCAAAAAAGGAGAAACTTACAAATTAACATCCCAACATCAAACACAAAATCAATGCAAGAATGTCAATATTTTAAATGATACTGTCTTACATATTGAAAAATTACTTTCCACCATGGGATCAGTTAATACGCTTACTGTTGTTACAAGTCTACATCATCTTCCTCTGACTTACCAACTGAACCCAGAGAGTTGGCCCATGATGCACCCTGCCTGGTCACCATGTTGAGAATCCTGCAGAGAGAAAGCAAACATTTAGAGGACAGGTCAGGACATCCAGGTGTAATCCTAGGGATAATACTACTAGTGAACTGAACTTTGTCTGCATACTCACTGTACATTACGAGGTTTGGACCACGCCATGTCTCTGGTCTCCTTCAGGCCCATCCTGAGGCCGTTTACTGCTCCAAGTGCTGCTCCTGAAGCCGAAACAAAGAGGCAGAGAGGCTCAGTGAGGGACTGACTCAAATTCAGTGGGGGGAAAAAAGAGAAACAAAAAACTTTAAGCTATTTCACTTCAGGTTACTCCAGGTACACTACATGGCATAAAGTAATTGGACACCCAAAAATAATTGATAAACATGTAATTCCAAAACTGTGACTTCATTTGCCACTGTAACAGCCTCCACTCCTCTGGGAATGCTTTCCACAAGATGTTTGAACCTGGCTGCAGAGATTTGCTCCCATTCAGCCACCAGAGCATCAGTCAGTCAGTTCATCCCCAGGGTGTGGTGAGGTTGAGGTCTGGAGTCTGTGCAGACTGGTCAAGTTCTTCCACAGCAAACTGGGAAAAGCATTTCTTTGTGGACATAGCTTCGTGCACAGGGGCGTAGTTGTGTTTTTGTTTGTTTTATATGCCGTTTATAGTGCGTTTCATTTGGTTTACTTTGTGTCTCTGAGACCATGTTTTATGTTTGTTTTGGACATGTGCACTATTGTTTGTTTTGTTTAATATGTGGGAAAACTTTATGTGTTTTATGACAAAACCAAACCAAAACCAACAGGAAAAGGACTTCCCCAAACTGTTGGAAGCATATCATTGTCTAAATACCATTGTGTGTCGCAGCATTACAATTTACAGAAAACAAAAGGACATTGCTCAAAACATAAAAAATAACCCCAAACCAAAAAGTACACAAAAATAACGTGAATGGGGTCGACACATACTTCTGGCCATTCTGTTCTTCTAACACACAGTACAGTACTCTCATTTTCAGAGGTTAAAAGTAACAAGCACATCTACTTAGGACTGTGCTTAGGTTGAATTTTAAGGTACTTGTACTTTACTTGAGTATTTCTATTTTATGCTACTTTATACTTCTACTCAACCACATTTCAGATGCAAATGTTTTTTCATGATGCAGCTTTTTCCTCCACGTTATAAGACAGCTGGAGTCAGTTGAAAAGATTTTTACCTAACAACACTGATAATCTTATAAAATAACACACTGTTAAAGATTAAAACTGTGGTTTCCAGTCTGTGTGTGGCCCTTCGACAACTTCCAGGTGTCTATAAGAGCCATTCCCCCTTTAAACCTCTCTGCTGGTGTAATTTAAATAACTGAGGTGCAGGTGTGTATTAAATTTCACAAATAACACCAAAGAATTAACATAAAAGTTTGTACCTAGACTTTGTGTTTATTTCTTCTACTTTCCTACTATCACTTGTTCATCTCATGACCCCTCAGATTTATCTTCTGACATTTTTTTTTGGGGGGGGGGACCACTAAGTAAGTTGGAAACCACTACACATTCAGGGGTACATGTTCAAAAGGTTTTTCTTTTGACTGATCAACAGTCCAAAATGAAAACCTATTCATTCTACTGTCACGTTCTACAAAAAAAGCACCAAATATTCATTTTTGATAAGCTGCATACAAAAACTATTCTCATACTCAGTTATGAAAATATGATGATTAATTTTCTGTTGGTCATTTAATCAGTTAATTGATTAATTGTTACAGCTCTTAAATTACACTATATTATATCTACAATTTAAGGAAGCTGTGTGCCATTATGAAAGTCCCAGGTGTTCTCTGTTTCTTACCTGTCATGCAAGAGCCTCCAATAGTGAAGAAAGCCAGTTCAAACCGTCCTCTTGTTTTATTGGCGCCTGTGGGTAGAATGAACTCATCTGTGTCCTAAAAGACAACATTAACAAATAGTTACTACTGATTCAAAATGCACAAAAAACATTTATTTGCTACGAAAATGACTCAAACTCAGCTTTATCTTACCTGAACCAGGTAACGAGGATCGACATTGAGGTAAGGTGACAGAGGACTCATTCCAGTCACTGAAAGGACAATATAACACAAAAAACATCAGTTATATATGAAAAGTATTGTATTTTACATTATTTTAAAAGACCTTGAAGTCTGTACAGCTGTTAGCTTTAAAGGTAACTGAAGGTATAGCAGGTTTACAGTAAGACTACGTGACACTTACACGGTACACCGGCGAGCTCTGTGTTGGAGTACTCAGGTGCACCACCTCCAAAGAGACCCCCGAGACCTGCTTTGATTCCCCCCGATCCTTGCGAGTTGTTGTCCATGGTTTAAAAAAAAGATCCAGAGGTTTCACCTGGAGAAAACTGGAGCCAGGAAGGCGCTACTTGCCGAGCCGGCCTGGCTAGCTAACGTTAGCTATGTCGTAACACTCAAAATCCAAGCGGAAACGATCAACGACGAGCTGCTGGATCCACCGCCACCAACAGAGGCTGTCCCCACGGCGTGTGTGTTGTATCCTAAGATAAATTCCCGGGTGAAAACACCGTTTGTTTTCTTAACAAATTACTGTACTCGTCTTTTCATCATGCATCTGACCTCCAGCAGCATGCTCTGCCGTCAAGTGACGACCGACGCTACGTTGCGTCGTTACGTCAAAAAAAAAAAAAAACAGATTATGAAATGTGGAAAAAAACAACAATACTATCATAAAAGTCGATACAATCTCATTATTTGGAGAGGGTTACTTATTTAAAAGTGGAAAATATAGTCACAAAAGCGTTTAGATAAGGTTAGTAAGCCCCACGTTTTTACGACACGTGAACAGATCTGGGATCTGTTCGTTTAGCTCAAGGGCAAACAGTGTGGAGGAGACAGAACATCACTAAACCGATCTAGAAGCTGTTTATGTAACTCAAGGGCCAACAGTATGAAGCAGGAGGACACTGCAACAGGCACTGTATAACTTATCTTCATGCGAGCATTGTATTCCATAAATTAGTAGCTAATGTTACTGACAGATATTATAATTGATGGCCAATTTTGTAGCCAATGTTACTGACATTTTATCTTGTGGTATTCACGTTAGAATCATTATGACGTCATTAAAAAAAAAACCTTACTATTAACATTTGGGCAACGCTGGCAGGTAAAGTAACTGTCACTGTTTAATCTCACATCAATATTGAATTTGTGATGGCCAGAATTAGCAGCTAATATTAATGCTACTTTTTCTTTTTCCCTTAGATTGTTGCAGGCCAAACTTAGCACCTAATGTAATTTTAAAGGTTTTATTTTAATAAGGAATGGTCACAGTCCTACAATATGACCAGTTTGAGTTTGTCTGGAGACCTCTGGTGCATCTCTGCACCCCAGAATACTTTAAAACAGAGCTACTGGTCACCTGTTGCAGTTTATTGTAAATCTTGTCAGAAAAAAGGGTGGACATCCTCAAATGCTACACAGGGAGGCAGCAGAGAGCTGACAGTAAAGACAAGCCCAACTGTTGGAGGGTCAGACCTGTTAGATCTGGTGCTCGTCAGTCCTCATTCTAATTAGGCCTGATTTAATTGACTGATTTAGTTAAATTTGTTTCCCATGCAGTCAGGAGAGATACAGGCTGAATTTGCATGATGGAGTTTGCATTAATTAAAGTAAGGAGGTAATACTAGGTTAAATAACATCCATATGACACCTATCAGGCCATGAAATGCTCGACTCCCCACCTCTCATGCCTGCTGGGTACCTATGCAGTGAGACGACGGGGCCACACACACGCACACGTACGCGCACATTTATGCAACTCAGCCCCGGCCATCTGCTGCCGGTCAAAGGGACAGAGGCACTGAAGGAATTTAGTGTGTTGAATTTCACGAATAACAGAGCATCTTATTTGGATTCTGCCATTGTATGTGTGTATTCAGAAGGGGCCAAGTGGAGCGATGAAGTTTGCCATTGTCGCCCAGTGTGGGTGTTTTCAGACTCTCTGGCATGATCTGTGAGTTAGTGTTCTCTGTGTTACTGCCCAGTGTGCCCACTGTCTTTCCCACAATGCCCCATTCAGCCCTGGGCCTCTCTCTCCCTCTCTCTCTCTCTCTCTCTCTCTCTCTCTTGCTCCCTCCCCACCCCCTCCCCACTCTCTCTCTCTCTCTCTCAGCCTGACCTGCCACCCATTTTGTGCCTCTGGTTAGTCATCATCATCATCATCATCATCATCGTTGTTGGGCTACAAACCAATTTTTCAGTTGTGGGATAAAATCGCTGTGATGTCATCTTTGTCATCTTTTTCAGCAACTCTTGTTTTCGTCCTCTCCTTCCTCTCCTCTCTCTCCCTCCCTCTCTTTCTCTCTGTCTCTCTGAGCTCCCAAACACAAAAGACAGAGAGGCCACGACAGGACCCCAGTGTATGCTGGTTGTCAAGGAGACAAGGAGACAGTGTTGGGTCTTTAAACTGCCTCAGAGGGGTGTGTGGAGTTAGGGGGAGTTGGCCTTATTTACATGGGAAGAGGACAAGGGAGAGAGGGGTTTGAAATACAACTTTTTGAGCCGTTTCCCTGCAGCTTATAGGACTCCACTGTTATTCGGCTAAAATCATTCCGCTGCCGCTCGGTCATCAAATATTTACCAAGCAGAGGAAATCTGGAGCTGTTCATTATGTGGAGAACGCCGTGCATACATAGCAATGTAAATCAACCTGTCTTTTCCTCTCACTTTCTCTCTTTTTCTCCCACACACACACACACACACACGCGCACACGCACGCACACAAACACACTTTGATTTTAAGCGCTGGGAGCACTGGGCCCCAGTGTTGGCAATGGTGAGAGCTGACTGCAGAATACATTGCCAGATGCTTGAAGAGTGTTTCATTCCAGACTAGGAGAACAAGAAAAAAAACAAAACAAAAAGAAAAACAGCACGAAACTTGACTGAAAACAGGAAAAACAGAGACAAGAGTACACACCCATCCAAACACACATGCACCACCACCCATCCCTATCCACACATTCTCTCTCTCTCTCTCTTTTATTTTCTCTCTCTCTCTCTCTTGCTATCTCCACTCAGTGCTTCCACTCTGCTTCTTCCTGTCCAGAGGATTGTCAGCAGCGGTCACATTATGTCCTTTCTCTCTCTGTGATCAGGGGGCTGGGGTTGCGGCCGCAGAGCAGGCTCAACTCCAAGCCTGAAGTTCAATATCACCCCTCAACTTCACAATGAAAGCAGGAAGGGCAGGGAGAGGACGAATGAGCCACCCACTGCTGCATTCACCACGGAAAACCCCATGTGATTCTGTTTTTTTTTTTTTTTTTTTTTTTTTTTTTTTTGAGTGTGTGAAACTTTAAATGAGTTGTTTAAACTTTTACTTTTAACTACAAGTGTCAAAGGCTCAAATTACCTACGGGTATTTTTTAAAATAACCTCTTTTTATGTTTTTATTCTTTAATGAGCGCAGCCTTAAAAAGAAAAAAAAGTCAAATTAAAACAAATGTAGCTACCATGACACATGTTGGTTATTAGCTGTAGGTTTTCAGAGACTTCAGGGACAGACTGATCCTGTGTAATATTTACTCTGCAGATGTTTGAGGGCGAGCTTGCACAATCAATTTCCCTTCAATTCCCCAGCCATCTAGTCCTCCAAACCTGACCCCCCCCCCCTTTTTTTTTTTTCTGTTATACATGCGCATGCCTCTTAGGAACCATGGTGAGCTGGGTGTGTTTTGTTCTCTCTTATTACACACATCAATGTCTGCAATGTCCACTTAAAAAGCTGAGGAAGATAGAGAACAGGAGAAAGAACGCAGAGAAAAAGAAGTGGGGAGCAACATGTTGTGGCCTTTTCCCTGCATTTTGTCTGAAGTATCTGCTGTTTTCTTTTTGTCCCTCTGTGTCCAAGGAGTGTTTGGTGATTAGTATGCAGAAAGGAAGCTGATTTGCATAATTAAGTGCTACAGTGAAAAAGCAACAAAGTTTGTTAGTTTTACAACTATGAGTTTAATAGTGTACAAAGAGTTATTCCTGCTCAGAATACTTTAAAAGTTAAAAGTTCATTGTTCAACACATATCTTTTCTTTTTTTTTCTCATTTTTTTTTTAGACACACATGTATGTTTTAAAAGGAATCCAAAGCAGAGACAGATACAATTAAAGTGGTTAATAATCACAGAAGTGGTAACAGTTAGTAACCTACACTTGGCACTGAAGAGTAGATTAATGTTGTACTACACTGTTAATTGTCACACGTATAGTATACAAAAGGCACAGAAGGCAAGCAATGCTGATCTCAAAGGCTTAAGTTAATACAGAGAACATCAGACTCCAGTTTCTCAGGACAGAGTGACTACTAGTGACACATGAAGGATAGTTATATTCATCAAATTATTCTCCGTAATAAGGCATAATGTTCTTATCTGAAAAGGTCATTTAATGTTATTTTCATGTACAAAATAAAATATAAAAATACATTATAAACTTGTTACAGATGTTACGACTCCATGATTTTTTTTTTTTTTAAACGTCAAGGCATCAGCTGGTTTGTGTATGTAAAAGTGTACCACACCCTCTGAAAAAGCGGATACACATGCAAAAATATATTGTATGTATGGACGACTTCATCTCCAACAAAACAATCAACCGAAAACAAACAAACAAAAAACAAAAAGAATAACACTGTTCTCTGGAGGCATCCAAAAACCTCACATAAACATTTCAGACACTGTAGCTAGAGCTTCAATACTGCATTGCACTTCCAATTCAAATGAGCCACTGGTTTTCTTTTTGGCAATAAAATCTGAATTGGGAAGAGTTATGGATGTAAAGCCGTAAAATGACGACACATGCGACACATTTCCTGCAGTCGTAATTAATCTGCATAAACCCAAATAACATAATTTCATGCTGGGCACAATGCCATGGTGTAGTGATAAAAGATTTAGGTGTAACATTGTTCCATCGCGCTCAATAAATAAAGGCACTGTTGTTCAAGCTCATACAATACTGTAGTGTGAAAAAAGGCAAAGGCATCGCTGTGGAGAAGTCCTCGAGATTTAGACAAAAGAAGTGCAACCTTCCCTCTGCATGTGTGTCTATCTGTAACTGTACAAGCTTAGTATTTATTCTGTATATGTCAACTCAGTATCCGGGTGCTTTACCGTTTAAGAAACACTCAGAGATACTTTGGCATTTTGGATTCCGGTTTGTTATTTTTCCTCATTGAGCACCTGTCGCTTTATGGAGAAAAAGGTTCGGCGCTGGCATTTTGCTCGACTGAACGATGGCTTTTCTTTTTTTTTTTTAAGTATTCCTCAAATATGCTACAAGCAGCAGAAAATAATGCACTTAAAAAAAAAAGAAGAAGCATGTGACATTTTAAACATCATTGGAAATCGCACGTTGGTGTTACATTTTGAAGGAAAGCGTGTTAATATATGAACATTTTAACACCATTATAATGTGTTATAATGAAATTAATGTATGTTGGGCCATAAAAGAAGCAATCCCTTTCAAGAGTGTCTGGAAATTTTCCCATGTTAAGTGAGAGGTGCCTGTTGAGGAAAAATACTACAAAATATCAACATATCTCTTTCAGTTTAGTGTTTATGGAGGGTTTCTGTGGCGGATAAGTACAATTACCATCATTATCAGTATAGTTACCGTGTTATTAATAGAGTCATTATTATTGCGTCGCAATGACTGAGGGTAGGGCAGCTCAGAGAGACAGTTTGGCACAGCTAGGGATTAGTTTAGGAGCCCTTCACCAGTTTGGGGCCCATCCTCAGTAAAGCCTACTGGTTATGGATGGCAATAACTGATACAGATTGGGATTTTGACTGTCGGATGGTTGTAAAAAATTCACAGACTGGCTTTGGAGTTTTGTAAGGAAGGCACGTTTGGTAAAGTTTAGGTTAGGACTTGGTGATGGGCGGGGTCCTGAGGTTTATTCCCATGATCGCTGTCGTCTGGTTGGTTGGTTAGACAGAAGCGGCCGGGTTGTTCCCAATGTGCTGGTCTCTGGTTGGCTGAGCTGGGGGAGTGGCGGGGCCGTGGGCCAATGAGCACGCCAGCGGGCAGAGATGGGTGGGTCATCAGTGGGCGGAAATGTCAGAAGGTCAAGGGGTCATGGGTTAGTTGCCGTGGCAGCTAGAGTTAGACGGACAGAGACGGACAGACATGGAAAGGAAACAAAAAGGGCACATAAAAGGGGACATAAAAAGAAAAAAAGATAGAAGAGAGATTAGTGTCAGCTAGTGGCGTCAGGATGACAACAAGGCAGATCTACTGCAGTCACACAGCATGAGGGGTATTACATAAGAGGCGCACAGCACCTTCATGAGCCCTCCATAACCATTCACAAGGACTTACGTCAACAACCAGGTGTTGACGTAAGGAATGGCTGGTTGGCGATGCTCACCTGTGCTCATGAAGGTGTTTGCAGGGTTAAGTTTTAGCAGATACCCCTCCTGTCGCGTGACCGCTGCTATAGTGATACTACTCATGCTAGCTGGGCTACTTCTAGCACAGACAGACAGTGAAACCATGGACAGAGAGGGAGACAGCATGGTTTCATGTGGGTGAGAGAGTGACCTTTATGTCCAGAGAAAAGTGTCTGGGCCTCAGAAATACTTTCGCTTACTGACAAGTAGAGGTGTTGTTTAGCAGCAGGCACAAGATCTTGGTGATTAACAGTTGTGATTAACTGATTATTGATTATGGTTTGATCTATTTGCTATGAAGTATTAGAAGAGCACCTAATGACTACAGTAAGCAAAGAGGCACCATAAGAGACAGCAATGAGAGGTTAAGAGATGGTGATTTTAGAGGGACTTTAGGAACAATTTAACAATAGACAGACTAACTACAAGAATTTAGAGGCTTTGGTTTTCTTTAGAGATTTTTTTCAATAGTCATCTTTATTGCCTTTTAGTGTTTTTTGTCCATCGTGTACAACAAGAGCACCACTGCTCACACACACACATATATTGTAGCTAGCTAGTCCATTTCTATTGCATAAAACAGTCACGAGGCCTGTGAATCGAGAAGGTCACCTCATCTTAAATACACAGAGTATAACACTGCCTTCATTGCCACCTTCGCGGTGACTAAAACAGTAGTAGCTACACACTTTGAATAAAATTTGAAGTTTACATGGAGACACTTCATCTATAAAAAGCATACCATAAAAACAAAAATAAAAATTTACAAACTAAAAAAAACTAAAAAAAAAATACTACAAGTATTTCCAAGCGATCTTGTTCCATAAGCTTCATATAAGCACTTAAATCCTTAAAATCCCTATATACAAATTTATTTTGCAGCTAAATACATGGTAACAGCACCACTCTGGCTAGGAAATATATGAAAGATGTAAACAGCCCCAATGATAAAGTCCAGTGGGCGACTGATAAGACCACAAACAACAGTATTTCATACAAAAGAGCTTGTAACACAGACTTCAGTAGTTATCACACGCTGTGTTTTAGTAGTAAAAACCAAAGATCATATTGAATTGAATGACCTTCAGAAAAAGACAACCACTGTTACTTTAAGTGTCATATAGTCATTGGGCACAACACAGGATTTAATTAATAATAATAAAAAAACATTTGTGGAAATCTACTGGAATGAAATTGGGTATAAATAAATGTTCCCACAGTATTTGTAGGGTCAAAAGTAGTAATGAGGAGATAAACAACAACAAAAAAAAAAAGTTTCTGAGAGATAGGACTCCAAATCCAGAGTCACAAGGACCGAGTCACATGAATGGAGCGGTCCATTCTAATTGAGAGGGTCCCGGCCTGCAAGCCGTCCAGTTTATCTAACAGGCGAGCAAAGATAAGCGCTGCAGCTGGCACCCCTAACATGGTTCCTCCCAATCTGCTCACTGCAACAAATACTGTTTCACATTTTACACTGAAGCCGCTTCAGCGTGTGACCTTTTTGCCCGATACAGTTATTTATTTTTTTAGGCATGCCGTATTACAGACACATGTAAACTGAAATTGGTCCATTGGTCTGCATGCACGCACACTAACACACACACCCACATACACATACACATTAAAGTGGCTGGTGAGCTAACTAACCTCTGTCTGTGGTCACTACCCTTTGGTAAGGATGGATTCTCTTGTCGTGGCGTCGTACCTTAGTGGTCATGGCACCTGCTAACAGCCATTGACATCGCCAAAACAGAACACAGAAGGTTACTCATCAGAAAGACATCAAACAGTCCACCCATGGCACCAACATCAGTGAAACCAGGAATTTACAAAGTGTTCAAGGCTGAAGGTGAAAAATAAGCAAAAACATCTCACTTCTAAGAGACAGAATTTTTTTTGTTGTTTTGTGGTCTTCTGTTTTCTAAGGAAAATAATAATCCAAACCACTAATCTCTGACTACGCTTCACTAGTAGATTCAACATCAGCTGTAAGTAAAGTCACTCTATAGCTCTGTGATCAAAATAAGCTTTAACATATTAAATCACAAACAGCAGCACTAAAATAACTATGGGTTCACTAAAAATGTGTTAAAATTACAAGCGGAAGCTGAACTATTAAAAAAAAGTTAAGTAGCTGTCACACCACAACACTAGTCTGCTAATACAAAGAGGAAATTAACAGGAATGGACACTTGACTACAGAATGACTGTCGAGGAATCTGTCATCCTAAAGTATGAGCAAACTCTGAGTGTTTGCTCTGTGGGACAAGTATGTGTGTGTGGGGGAGGGAGGGAGGGGGGGGGGTCTCTGCAAGCCAGTCCATGTGTGTGCTAGGAAGGGTTGCTATCGCTTAGCCTTTGGTTGGGAAAGCCATACCTGCAAAAACACAGGGAGAAGAGACTGTTAGCCCAGAAATGAGCTTCAGCATCGATCTGTACATGTCGTGGATGTATTACAAGAGCTGGATACGGCAACCAATTTGTTCCAGTGGCAAACTACGGTACTGCAATAATAATGACCTTGTGCTCTGCTATCGGCCCTGGTCTAGATTATCTGGTTTTGAGTCGGGTTCAAGTGGTTTTGTTGGGTAAAGGTTCTTTTTCATCTTTTTATGTGATTTAAATTTCATTCATGATACTGGAAACATTAGTTTGACAAGAAAACTTCAGATGACCCCCATCCCACATATGATTGACACCTATCATCACAGAACTCAAAACCATACTCAGGTCATGTGATGGCAACTCCATCTGCTGGAAAAAGAGTTTGGATTTCTTTTTCTTTTTTTTTTGTCAAACAGATGTATTTTATCAAGAAATTTCCCTCTTCCTCTCTCTGACTGAGTCAACAGCATGTCGTGTTACAAGTAGATATGTAATGCCCAGAGGGAAGAAGAGTGGGGAGACAGAGTGAGGTCATTGCATTGCCTCAGGGCAAATGATAAAATAAAGCAAAAATATATCTCCAGGTCCAGGGTTGGGATTTGGGTATGAAATTTGGCAAGCCAGGTTTGGTCTTTCAGACGTGGATACAAGCCAGGTTTGGGTCTCAGTTTTTAGGCACGTGGAATTTAACTGTGGACCAAAAAGCTTCATAGACTGCCATAATAAAAGATGTCTGTAAAGTTGCTGACAGGACAAAAAATTAAACCACAAAGATTCTATATTTGTAAAACTTCCTCCAAGCTGTTTTTTGTTAGCGATGTCCCCTCAGTGTAAAGTCTATGGGGCGAGCGGGCGTGGCCAGGAAAAGTTTTTTTGCTTGATGAGCAACTCTCATTGGAGCCCAGTATCCAGTTCTCACAATACATCCATTGCCTATGTATGAAAGTGATGAACTTCCAAATCTACATACCTAATACTCCAGTTGAGTCAATTGGGTATTCCAATATGGAGGGTGTGAGTGTGTAGGGATAATCGTAGGGTGTGTAGATGATTCCAGATTCGGGCCCTTGCTGCACCAGCGCCGGGTGCGGATTGCCTCCCGGCACGAGGGTGGAGCTCTGGATCTGACGAATCAGAGGCATGATGGTCGGCGTGGTGACGGGGGCGGGGTTGCGCAGAGTGGGAGGCAGGACGGGCGTCGGGCCTGTGATGATCCGAGGCGCCTGAGGGGTCGCTAGCGGGAAGGCGGCGGTGGCTGTGTGGCACACAAAATGCACGATATTGCAAGTATGCGCACACCCACACGCGAGCGCACCAGAAGTGAACACGTACAATGGACAGGGAAGAAGAGGAGAGGACAAACAGACTATTTAACAGGAGAAACAGAGGCATTGTTCATATATACAGTGGACTCCTGTAACAAGACCCCTCCTTTGTCACCCACCAACCCTCCTCCACATGTTAACTGTGATGTCATCCTTACGCGTCTTGACATTGGCGTCTCTGTAGGTCCCATTGAGAATGGCCAGCTCCATCAACTGCATTTTCTTCAGGTTGTCCTCCCCCTCAGCCTGCAACCAACACATGCAAGCACAGCAGCACAGCGCTGTCATTCAGCCATTTCACAAGCCAATGAATCAACTTTTGTGAGAGTCTGGTCAAAAAGTCGGCAAATGTTACAGTATGCGGACACTAATTCTGAATCAATTTAAATGTTTTCAAAAGGGAAAGAAGTATGTTGTTTTTTTTCCTCTTCTGTTTGCTGTTTTTTTTTTTTTTTTACATAGTCTGCAGCGGAGATGACGAGACCTTGAACACAGCCGCTCCACCTCGCAGGGCATATTCAGTGTCAAACACGCTAGCTTCTTAGCTCCAGTTACAGCTTGGTGAGAAGCTTGACTGATTTACAGTTGGACAGCAAGGTCGGCCGGGTTAAACTAACACATATCATTAACTTTAGCTACCACACACAAACACGCACTCACTCACTCACTCACTCACTCACTCACTCACTCACTCACTCACTCAAACGCAGATTAACAGGTGTTTGAGCTCCTGATTGCCTATAGACACTCCTTGCATCCTATACCGTTCTGGGGTTGGAGCAGGAAGTGATGGCTGATTGCTGCAACAGAAATCCCCCTGCAGGTCTTTTCAGTCTGTTTCTATTGTTGTTAATAATGCGGAGGAGATAAAAAGGAAAGAGCCTTGTGATTTCAAAATATGTGCTTCTGTGCTTCTGTCAAACAGGGATAATTTAGAGAGTGCCCCTGTGTGTGTCTGCTCATGTCTGTGCAATGTTCCTCATCATTTGTTATTCGTCATTATGTTTTCATGTACGTATGAGTGAGTCTGTAGGGGGGAGGTAGGTGGGCCGGAGAATGTGAGAAATGTTGAGGAGTGCAATCAAAATGTCCTCTTGTGTGGACAACAAGACAAAAAAAAACCCAGTGAGAAAGAGGAATACTGTAGCCAGTAGTTGGGAATGAAGTGAGTTGTGAACAAGTGAAAGGAGTGATGGAGTGGGGAGAACGAGTGAACAGACTCTCCATTCATTCCCTCAGCCTTTCAAACAACCCGGGGTTACCATGGAAACCCCTTTATGTGTGTACCCTAATTACCCTAACTCCTTACACATACTCTCTCATACACACGGAGACACACACACACACACACACACACACACACACACACACACACACTTTTTGGACTGACAATCCCCTTCCCCCTTCCATGCATACCAACACAGTGAACCCTCATCCAGTCACACGCAGTTTTTCCATCAGTCCAGGCTGTAATATCTGACACTGGGGGGGGTGATGATGATGGTGGGGGGTTTCGGACCGATACTCACAGCAGGCACGAGAAGCTTCTTGACCTCGTTGATGGCCCGCTGGAGTTTGATCTTGGCCCGGTTGTGTGTGTCCTCCACCGTGATCAGGACGTGGAGGTCCTCGCTCAGGTGCTCCCAGTTGGGCTTCCCTCGGTTCATCTCCTCCTGGAACATGCAAAAATTTTAAAAGACTCAGTTTGAATGCACCACCCAAGCTCGGCCCATTACGGGAGAGACGAAACAGGATTTCACTCTTCTGTTTTTGGCACAGCTCATGGATCGGCCTCCAACTGCACACAAACACACACGAGGCTCAAGGTCGTGTAATGCAGCTCTGGAAGCATCACCAAACTCATCAAACATCCCCTTAAGTGCTTAAACAAGTTTGGTGTTTCATGTTAGTGAAGGTTCTGCAGATTCTTTCTGTAACAGTTCCCCAAATCACATCATTTTTTGCAGCTGCTCTTTATCTGTTCTTTTCCTTTCTTTCTCCCTCTCTTTATCAAAACTACAGCTGGAAAGATTTGTCAGTTAATTGATATTCAGTTGCTGATTCAATGACAACGGCACCATTAATCACTGAATAATCGTTTACACAGTCATTATCAAGTAAAAATACCACACACAGTCACTGTTGCTGTTTGTACTTGTTGGTCTCCTTCCTTGTTGTTCATATAACAAAACAGGTACAGTTGTGTGTTTTGGATAACCTTGTGTTCAAAATGGTTACAAGAAACACCAAACAGAAGCTGGATTAGCTGCTGCTCTCTGTTTCAGGTCATTGTAATATTGTGTTGTTGTTTTTTTCAAAGTTCATCAGACAAGCAATCAGAAGCCAGTCTATGGGCTCTGGGAACTTGTGACAGGGATTTGTTTTTATTTTTAGCCCCATTAACTCACGGGAATGGCAATGTCAGTCCATCACTCCCTGAAATATCATGACCAATTTTGAATGGGTTGTCATGAAGTTTTGTACAGAAATTAACAGAATCCTCTGTCTTAATTGTTTCTGAGTATTGTTTCTCAACAACATATGGATGGATCACTCTCACATCTATCCATTAAATATGAGGCTACAGTCAGGAGACAGTTAGCTTAACTTAGTTAGCTTAGCAAAAAGACTGTAAATAGCTGCCCAGTGGTTACAAAATCCACCTAATAGCATGTTTAAAGCTCACAAATTAAAATTTTTTTGTTTAATCTGTACAAAAAACAAAGGATGATAATGACACATTGTGCTTTTATGATAAGGGATGGTTGAATAGCTTCAAAACGCCCTCCGGAGTGGGAGGGCCGAGTGGGAGTGGAGGTGACAAAGTAAGTTGGGTTTGAACTCTGTAGCTCTTTTTTTCATTCGTCACACAAAAATTTATCACTTTTCATGTGACAGACCAAGTGCAATGCTACTAATGTCTTCCATCAGCGACTGTCACATCTCCACCTTGACCATCGGATTTTCACTCCACCTTCGAGTGCGACCGTTCAGACAAACCACAAACACCAACGTGGACTACGAACTAGTTCTGTCCGAGCATGACCTGACCTTTATGTGCTGGAACTATTTCTTGGCCGGTTGCAGTGACTTCCTGGCCAGGCAAGCTGCCCCCCACTCCCCCACCCCCCACCCCCCCTTGCTTCCAGTCTTTATGCTAAGCTAACCTAAAACCATCGCCTGACTGACGAAGAAAAAGAATAAGTGTATTTTCCAAAACTATTCCTTCAAGTACAGTCTCACAGAGTCGCTAACACGCCTCAACTACCAGATGTTAATGAAAATAACTGTTAGTTGCAGCTGAGTTAAAACTAAAATTATGAATCTTTCTATCTCAGCATGGTGTGCGGGGAGATTGTATCCTCTGTGGATGTTTTGTCAAGTGAGATGTATCGTTTTGAAGAACACTAAAAGTCAACATCTTTCTCTCTTCTCCCCCTGTTGCCTCCCACTGTGTCTCTGTTTTCCTTCCTCTCTGTCTCTGTGTGTGTCTATATGTGTCTGTGTGTGTGTGTGTGTCTCTTGCTCTCTGAGGGGCGTGCGGGGTAGGGAATGTTCTGGAGAGAGAGAAAGAGATAGAGAGAGAGAGAGAGAGGGGGGTGGTGGAGGAATGCTGGACTTGCTCCACCTGCCGTTTGGAAAGCTTGAGCCGACTCCGTCCAACAGCAGACACCAGGGGAGAGGAAGGGAGGACAGATGGACTGAGCACCAGGACAGGAGAGAAAAACTGAGCACCAAAACCGGGTGTTGGGGAAGGGCAGATAGATAGATAGAGAGATAGAGAGATAGAGAGATAGATAGATAGATAGACCTCACCCCTCTCTGTTCCTTGCTTTGATTTTTAACTTGTTTTGTTTCTTGCATCTGTTACATTTTTATTTTAAACATGTAAAGCACTCAGTAAAAAACACTTGAGGCTACAACATGTTTTTGCAGGTTTCTACAAATCACATTACAGCTGAACATTTCCCAAAGCAAATCAGTTATTTAAGTTATTTTAACATTTCTGAGCTGATCTTTCCCATCCTGCAGACTGCTGTTGGATTGTGCTCTCATTTGAAAGCCACTGAAAGTCTTCTCAAACACAACTAAACATCATGTCCTCCATTTATTTTTTTTCCCAGTGTTGTTATTGCTGAGTGCTAATGCATCTTAAAATAAGCTCAATTTAAAGCACATCATGAATGTAACTTTGACAAAAATTGCACATAATGTTCTTTCTGATGGGCCAAGTTCAATGAAAACAAATGAAAGCCTGGATATTAAAAAAACACTCAAAGGAGTAGTTTGAAATTTTGTGAAACCCACTTATTTGCTTTCTTGCTGATAGTGAAAAGATAGATCCTCTCGTGTCTGTACAGTAAATAGGAAGATATAGCTGGTTAGCTTAGCTTAGAATAAATACTGGAAACAAGGGGAAAGAGCTAGCCTGCCTCTGTCTGAAACTGACAAAATCCACTCTCTAGCACCTAAAACTCACTAAATGACCTTTATATCTTGTTTGTCTAATTCGTACAAAGAAAATGTGTACTGTAAAAGTGTAAAATGACAAATTGTGGTTTTATCGGTGGTTGTACTTGGGTTTATGTGCCTGTTTCTGAATTAAACAAACATGATGTAGCACTTTAATTTGTGAAAATATCAAATAAGGTGATTTCCCAAAATGTCAAAGTATTCCTTTAAATAAATACATGTTATGTGAACATGCAAAAACAATTATAACAATAAGAAGATAAAAGCATGTAACTTGTGTGTTTTACGAGTGCATCTCTTGGTGTGTGTACCTTCTTCTTGTCTCTCATGGAGCCCTTTCCTCGCACCATAATCTTGCAGCCGGTTTCTGCCTCCAGTTGTTTGGCCGTCAGTCCACGTGGGCCCAGGATCCTCCCGACAAAGTTGAACTACGCAAAAGAGCAAAACACACAGATTAAAAATAAATAGGCCTGAAGGAAGATGGGACACATTTTTACATCACACTCACACACACACAAACTGTCTTTTTACAATGTGTGTATTTACTGTACATGCGCTGTGTGTGAATGTGTGTGTGAGTGTGTGTGTGTGTGTGTGGCTTTGAGGTTTGTGCATCTGTGATGTGTCTGTGTTACTAAGAGAGACAAAAATAGCTCATTATATGGGTGCTGGCTGGTGCTGGTGGCATGACAGGACAGCGCCGTTCTCTTAACCTTATCTGTCACTAAGACTGAGTGATTAACTAGACAGCTGCCCCTGTGTGTGTGTGTGTGTGTGGGTGTGTGTATGTGTGTGTGTTCTTTCACCACTGCCCCTCTGTTTTGTCATACACTCCTCTCATAACATTTGTCCAGCTTCTTTTATTCCTCCGCTAAAGTCTCACTGAGTTTAACCAAAGTTACAACATATTCCAGGATGACCCTTGTCTCTTTACCAACACACGCAAATCCAGATAGAGGAACTGCTCTCTAAATTTAACCCTGATCTCAACTGTTTTCCAGTGCACTCCTGTGTCTGTGTGTGTGTGTGTGTGTGTGTGTCCTGTTAGTCTCCTGTCATGTGAGTGAGGACAGCCTGTCATTGTGCTCGGTGATTGGCGAGCTGATGCATGGGGAAAATCATGTGAGCCATTCAATTTGGATCAACGGAACTCATATTGAAGTGCTTAACCGTACTTGGCGTGAGTGGTGATGTGCTGGATGGTGAAGTCTGCTCATTGCAGCGCACTTGACTTTATATTCGAGGAAAAAAAACTTAATCCAGCTTTTTAAGCTGTTGTTAATATTTATAGTGTAAACTTGAGGCTGAAAGTTGTGTCGCAGCGAGGGAGTTTAAATGAAATCATTACCTTTTTAACTAAACAAAACTTATCTTAATATGAATCTTAAAAAACTGGTGTAAATGATCCATTTTTATCATATTGTAAACACGGGTCAAGAATCATTATTGATCAATTTTAAGTCTAGATTACATCACTGGGTGTGAGCACAGATGTTCTCAGAGTGAAATCAGCCCTCAGATAAAATGTAAAGCTGTGATTAACAGGAACACTGACTTTTCTGGCAGCCTTTTCTGTAGCTAGGAGGAGACAAAGTGACAACAGCCAAAAGTAAACAGAGACTCTTCTGAAAGGGCAAAGGTCATGGATTTGTCCACTCACGTCAGGGTACTCTTTGACAGGCACGTAGAGCTTCTCCTGCAGCTGAGCCACGGGGCCGATAGCCTCGGGAAGCTCCTCCATGTCCCGCCCGTTGAACATCCCGCCGTTCAGTGTGTCGTTGTACATGTCCTTGCGTACCCTGCCGATTTCTTGGGAAGACGAGACAGAGAGAAGAAAAAAAAAAAAGTTAAGCTGAGGACGTCCGTGAACATGTCCAAGGGGGACAACAAGTTTCACATTTCTTTAGACTGCCCGTTTTTTTAGGAGGATGACTCACTGTCACCAGAGTTACAGGAGGCTCTGAATGTGACAGTAGACAGACAGGCAGTCAGACAGACAGGCACACGCATTCTGCACCACAATGTAGAATCTAACCATTGAATGCTTTGCAATCAGACCTCTTCTATTACTGAAAATTTCTCTCTTTCTATTTCATTCTCCAACAGTGTTTGACACAGATACACACACATACACACACTGTTCTTCTTTCACTCTGTAAATAATGCGAGAGAAAAACATACATGTTAGTGGGTGTCACAATGACCTGCTCTACCCTCCGGTGTTTATGAACTTCTGCTGCAGGGCAGTTATTCCACAACCATATAGAAACAGCACTGACAAAGCATTACGGCCACAAATAACAGTGATTTTCATTATCGATAAATCTGTAGACCATTTTCTCCATTTATCAGTTGGCCTATAAAATGCCAAATAATTCCCATCATTTTCCCAGAGTTTTTGTTGATGTCTTCAAGCATCTTGTTTTGTGCATCTACAACAGTGCAAACCCCAAAGATGATCTGTTTACAATAATTTAAAACAGAGAAAATCAGCATATTCACACACTGAAGAATCAGCAACCAGAGAACTGCTTGAATTCTTGATGAAATTAATCGATAATCAAAATGGTTGTGATCGATTATTCGAATGATTGTTGCAACTGTAGAAAGCACAGAAATACACTAGGCATCATTAATCTGTAATCATCAGCAGTAATGACTGTAATTTGCTTTCTATTTTGATTTAAAAACAAACAAGCAATCAACTAATTTTAGTGTTGAAATCAATTTCTTAAAAGGTCAAATTTTTGGCTTAGGTTTGGTGCAGAGGTAACATCATAAATGAGACTATGTCTGCCTGTCTGTTTGTTTAGGGTTGTCTCAATGACCGATGCTAGCCTCTGATGCCTTTGTAATGACACGCTAGCACAATAATAACTGACTGCTGCATCACACAAACACATACGCAACACATGCACACAGACCCCCAGTTTGAACTTGCACACACACACACAGACCCACACACACACACACACACACACACACACACACACACACACACACACACAGCAGAATAACTGCCTTGAGGCACAAATATCATCTGACCTAAGCAGGCTGACAGCCATGTCTCCCTGCTCTGAGAGTGATAAGTCTGACCATAATAACTACAGTAGGACACTATAATTACAGACACAGCTACAGTGACAACGACGATCCTCTAATAACCTATTCTGACCTGTTACAGACCAAAACACACACACACACACACACACACACACACACAAACACAACAGAGATCTGCACAGACAAGCAGTGTGTCTGTCACGCCTCTGAGTTAAAACAGGGAGCAACTTGCTGGAGGAAAATGAGAAGTGAAAGAAGAACAAGAGACTTGAAGGAGAGAAAGATAAAGGGGGCAGCTGTGACAGGCCTTATCTTAACACTTCAACCTGTCCTAGGTTTATATATAGGCCAAAGAAACATGCACCGTGACAGAATGTGTGACTGGCAGGCTTTCTTATTACCCTGCACAAAGTTTTTTGGTACAGAGCCCTTATGCCTGAGTGCCCCGTCCACATAACTCAGGCGGAAGATACAGCCTGGCTGAAAATGGGCATGGTACAAAGCCTTTCACTCTGACTGTGGGTGTCACATTATCATGTGTGAGGGATGAATATGCTCGGCCTTCAGTCTTCAATGTGAACACAACTAGAGATGTTAAGCTGACCTATTTGTCAGGCCGCAGAGGTCGTCTAGTATGAGAACAACCTTGCTGCGTCATGAGACTTGTCACAGAGCACAAAGTCGGGACCTCAGTGATCCTGATGTGCAACAACAGTAGCAACAAGAGGCCCTTGATAGCTTGTAGCACAAGTGACATTTTAAAAAATGAAGAAATGATGCCACTACGCAGTTCCTGTTCCTGTTCACGCCTTTTTAGTGTTATTTCAAAGCTGCTTGAAAGAAAGTGTGAGATATCAACAAGTGAAGTGCATTGATCAGCTGTGCAGACAGCGTGTCTTTGGAGGCTGTTAGTAGCCTCAAATCAAATATTTTACACTGTGACATGCTCTCGTTCCTGCTCAGGGATGGGCTGCAGCATTCACATAAGCCTGCGCATTAGGTCACTGGGAAAGACTAACAACTGTCTGTTTGTTCCCATCAGCAACTGACTGTGTGTGTGTGTGTGTGTGTGTGTGTGTGTGTGTGTGTGTGTGTGTGTGTGTGTGTGTGTGTGTGTGTGTGCGAGGAAGAGAGAGAGACAGAGAGAGAGAGGTCTTTTGGTGTGTGTGTGTGTGTGTGTGTGTGTGTGTGTGTGTGACAGAGACTGTGCTCATCTGCTGCTCTCAACAAATTAAAACTGTGACTCCAGGCAATTTACAAATCCTATCCACATACAGTTTTATAGCATTTTTTGAATCTTTATTGTGAAATCTATAAGCCACATGTCTATGAAGTGTAAAGCACCCTAAAATAGTGTAAGTGTTGAACAATTTATCATTAGCATCTTTCAGAGTTGGCTGGGATAACATTGCTGTCACGTTTCCCTGGAGCCAGTGAGGACTTCCTGCAGTTAATGCCTATTCAATAAAGTGAGTCAATAACAATCATTTTGATTAACACGGAAACTCGGTGTGTCCAGCCATGGAAAAGGTGGGCTCGTTTCCTCTGTAGTGTGACAAGTTGTAAAGGTGTGGTGGTGAAGGGGGGGGGGGCGCGTTACCTTCATCCAGCAGCCGCTCCAGATGCGTGAAGATGCCGCTGAAGTTGGGCAGGGAGCTCATCACCTTCCTGTCGTTCATCAGCTGCATTAGATAGTCCGGATTGGACTTGGGTCTCTCCTTCACCTCTGTCTCCCCGACCATGGCTTTTGATTCAATAGTAAAGTGACCTAGCTAAGTCGAAAAACTTATGGGAGATTTCTTTTTAAAAAACACACACACGCCCCGAGAAAATCAACGGACCCCAGGGGTTTCCACCGACCCGCTGACCGCCTCTGTAGCAGGCGGATAAAACTCAAATCTCAGCTCCGGTTAAATCGACTGTCCTTCGGTTAACGTTTCGTTTGAGAGCCCTCTCTTCTTCCAAACGCCCCCCTCAGTCCGACTCTCTCCAGACTTTGAAAAAAGTTCCTTTTCGGGGGGAGTTTGACTCTGTTTGACACTTCAGGCGACACTTTCACCGACTCCACGCACTTCTTCAGCAGCTACAAATGTACCATCTGATAGTCTCATCCGCCCCGGCTCCTCCGCTTGTGTCCGCCCAGTGTGTCGGTATTCTGCAGCGGGGATCGACTCCCAATCATATGATTACAGTATAGCAGCAGCACGAGTGGGCTGCTGGGAGCGCGCTGCGCGTAGCCGCTTTCAGAGGGGAGGAGGCTCGTGCTCGTCCCCTCAGCAGCCCCTCATTGCCCCCGCCTAGTCTCTCTCTCTCTTGGGTGCTCACACACGAGCACGCACACACCCCACACCCACGGTAAAACAATATAACAGCTCTGCATAGGTATGTACACCTGTTCTGCAAAAGTCACTGTCCATCACTTATCCTGTGAAGTGTGTGTGTGTGTGTGTGAGTGTGTGTGTGTGTGTGTGGGTGTGTGTGTGTGCAGGTGCCACCAAGTGCTGCAAGTAGCCTGCATTTTTTAAGTACTGAGGAAATATTGTACTTTTTTTACACCACTACATTTATGTATTATTGAACGGACCTGCTGGGCACCGAGGTTTATGACTTTAAAACAAGAATTATTAACAGTCACTTCATACAGAAGCTCAGGACCACGGGTCTGAGAGGTCAGGGGGCCCCTGGCCTCTGTATGAAATGACTGTTAATAATTCTTGTTTGAAAGTTGGAGGGCTCAGTTTAAAGAAACAACATGGCCACAAACTGGTGCAAAACAATCTCGAAGAGAGGCAAAGCTACAACAGTGATGAGAAATGATGCAAAATGACCACAGAGACATGCAAAATATTCAAAATGTAACACTAAACAATCATAAAGGGACCAAAACGATTGCAAATAGGTGTGCGTGTGTGTGTGTGTGTGTGTGTGTGTGTGTGTGTGTGTGTCTGTGATTGTTGATAGGAGAGATGGTATGAAACAGAGAAAAGCAGCGAATAGTCATACTGGTGAAAGCTTGAATCAGATCAATCTTGATGAATCACATAAATTATTCATTATGAAAATTATTGATGCTTAGTTTTGTGCTTCTTAATCATAGTATCATTTCAGTAAATTAAATCACCCAAAAGATAATGAAGTTAAAATTAGTTCCACCATGACCAGCTACAACATTGACATGCTGCATACACATGATATGATGTTACTGTACTTGTGATGGAGTGTCTAATAGTCTGGTATTGCTACTTTTACTTTAGTAAATGTTCTGAATACTTCTCCCATCACTGCCTCTTGCAGCCTTTCACACAGCCCCCTTCCTCTGTTCACACCCTCCACTTTGAAGACTTTTGTCAGGGATCCTGAAATAATAAGACGGTGTGAGGTGTGCATTTGTCCTCTCTGGGTGGCTGCTGCTTGGGGAGGAGAAATGTTATTGCTGAAGGAACAGATAGGTGCTAGGATCTAAAGTTAACTTGCTGTAAATCACACACACTTGTGCACACACACACAAACACACACACACACACACGCACACACACACACACACACACACATACCCGTTTTTGCTACGCCATGGGATCCAATGACCAGCTACAGCCTGCAGGGATCCACCCTTTCTGAAGGGTCTACAGACATGCTTTTAACTGCTAAAATCATTATAATTTTTTGTGAACACAAAAATGACTTGAAACATCAAATACTCTCCAAAAAAAAATAGACCTGAGATTTGGTCCTTCTGGGGACCAGTCACATTATGTTAATTAGCATACAATCAGCACCACTGTTAAACACTGCACAGCTCATGCACAGCATTTAATCTAACTAATGATGGAGTGAAACCTCAACATTAGATCACATGAACACTGGATCATCCAAACCGCCAGATTTTTCAAAACAGATCAGATTATGATTCTAAAATAACCAAAGTGCACGAGAGCGAGCGGACACACACACACACACACACACACACACACACACACACACACAGAGGCCGTGAGAACAATAGTGTGCCCATGCATGCCTTGACTTAAGCCTTTTGTCAGGCCACTGCTGACCTACGGCCACCTGGTTTCTCTCCTCTGTCCACTGTTGATACACAAGAGTGTTTTTCGCCTTGTAAGACTAAAGTTATTGATTGAGGCTGGGTGGGATGCATGCGTGTTGTGTGTGTGTGTGTGCATGTGTGTGTGTTGGTGTGTGTCTGAGCAGCAGGAATTGTAACGGGGGCCACAGTTGTTGTAAATGGCTGGTCAGCTGGTATTATGGCGAGTATCAGGGCGGGGGCAGTGCATTGTCCTCTCATAGCTCCAACAATGCCCCTGCTTGAGCAGGCCACACATCTACCAGTCACGGGCCCTCTCCTCTCTCTCTCTCTCCTCTGTCTCTGCTTTTTCTTTC